AGAATATATCTCCTTCCTTGTTCTCGAGATGGGCAAAGGTAAATCTGCGCATGTACAGTTCGGACTGCGCCGATGACACCGCGCATAAACCTTTGGGGAAAAAAGGTTTATGCGCGGTGTCATCGGCGCAGTCCGAACTGTACATGCGCAGATTTACCTTTGCCCATCTCGAGAACAAGGAAGGAGATATATTCTCTATCTCATGTTTTGGACAGTTTCGGCAGCTGGGAAACAAAGGCATTCCCCTTCCAGGTATATATGTTCTAAGCGCGCGCCCAACGCACCGGGAATACGGGCGAAAACGGCCGCTTTCCTCTTGCGACGTGACGACTCTGGCGCGCACGTACGTGCCCGAGTGGCGTGCCCCACGTGGGGCCCCCACGCCGACCATTGCAACCGCCGAGGCACACTCGAGCCGTATCTCGCCACCTACGTACCGGGCGTGCGGCTGGACCGCCGGGGCGACCGCCGAGTGCAATCCGCCCGCGATTTTTCGACCGGCCAGTTCGGTGTCCTGACCCGAGCCCGGATTTTTCCTCGTTCGCTATAAAAAGCTGGCTTTCTCGGCCCCGTCCTTGCGGCGGGCCGTATGACGCGTCTCGAGTGTGTGGTGGCGCGCGCCTATCAGCCTCGCTCTCTCGCGCTCTCTCTCTCTCTCTCCTCTCCGTCGCGCGCTCTCTCGTACTCGCGGCTTCGCGTCGCGACGGATTTTTACGCGACGGTAGATAAAAAGGCGCGTATATTCCTGTACGCGAGGCTCCTTCGCTACAAGATACGCGCTCCTCGTCGATCGGAAACGGCCACGCGCGCGCGTTGCCCCTTTTTTCCCTCCTTCGCGCGCGCCTTTCGCATATCGCCGAACGCGTACGGATCGTCATTGTGTAAGGTGTTTTACGTTCTAATGAGGGTGTAGTCGGAATAAATACACTGTTACTATATAAGATTGACTATATATATATATGGCTGCGGTCAAGCTGTCGCTTCAAATGTTACGGAGTATTCTTCTTCTCTTTTCTTTTAGTAAAGATAGAAAGAGAAGAGAAACGCTTCGAAACGTTTGCAGCGGCAGCTTGACCATGGCCTATATATATATATATTTGACAAAAATAGGATAAGCTCTAAGGGCGACGTCCCATAGCGCGGAAATACTCGGCGGAACGGAATGCGCGGAACCAGCGCGGCCAATCACAGCCATTCCGCTTTTCTCGAGCCGTTCCGCTATAGTTTTACCGCTGAAATCCGCGGAATAACCGGATAACCTCTATTGTGTTTTTGCATACACGTTCCGACACATTAGCATTTGATTACTTACTCTGTTCATAATTATTTAATAATAGTATTGTCTTTGGAACGTGTATGAAGAGATTATCCGTTCATTCCGCGAGTCAATATCAGGCAATATCAGGTTATAATTGTACACGTTTCCGCTGATGCATTTCTCCTAATGTCCCATTAAGCGGTAAACACGGCAGCGGAATTGGATTTCAATCAATCGTAGGAGAGTTCTACATTTACATGAAAAATATTTTACAGAAAAAACAGATTTTATTGTTAATACTTTATATATTATGTGTGTTCGTGTTGATCGAACCTTACCGATCTTACAGTTGGTTATAACCGGAGTCGGCTGCCGCCCGCCTCCGCTGCCGCGGCCGCAGCTGCCGCCGCCGCAGCTGCCGCCACCGCCACCGCCACCGCCACCGCCACCGCCGCCGCCGCCGTCGCCGCCGCCGTTAATATGCAGAGATATTTGTCGGTTTGCTATCTTTCCCCGCAGAGTGTAAAGCACCCGTTCCCTCGCCATTACGAAGCCCCACGTCCGTCTCTCGCCCGTCGCGAGTTACGAAGCGCGCGCTGCCGACGCTCGCGCGAGCGCCCGCGTATTTTTTCTCAAACGGTTTTCGGCGAGCGTCGCGAATCGACCGAGAGCGCGTGCGCGCGCGCGTGCAAGAGAGACGAAGAGCGAGCGAGCGTCCTCCGCTTCGCTCTCTCTCTTTCTCGCTCCCTCTCTCCCAGTCCTTCCATCCGTTCTTTTCCGTCTTTCCGGTTTTCGATCGTTTCGGGAATCAATGCGCCGGCCGCACGACCGCGGCACACGGAGAAAAATCCCTCCGCGTCTCGCTCCACGCGTCGCAACGACGCCTTGTCGCGTACTTACAGATATCTTTTTGTTACATAGCCGCGCGCCTCCTCCGATCGGCGGCCATTTGCGTTCGATATTCACTAGATCCCCCGACGCGGGAAACCAAACTATCCCCGCGTATACGTGTTGTACACGCACCGGCATAAATGCTGTCCCTATCCTTGTGAGGTGCACGCACACAACTACAGGGACTCTAGTTGTGTGCGTGCATCTCACAAGGATAGGGACAGCATTTATGCCGGTGCGTGTACACACGACGCGTACTAGACGCCGCGATGAATGGCGGGGCGACGCAGCCTCCTGAGACGCGAGCGGGGCCGAATTTACGCGGGTCTTTTGACTGGGGCTCCCCCCTCCTCTTACCTCATCCTTTCCAGATAATAAAGATGAAGCTATGCGATGTTGAGATGAAAAACGTTCTGCGATGAAGAAGATAAATAAAGAATGTTTCTTCGCAGAGTTATATTTTGTAATTGATATCGGCGGATTGAAGCGGGAATAAAAATGCACGAAATGATACCTGACGTTATCCTGTATTCCATTTTTTGTCTTAAACTATTGTTTCAACATGTCGCAATTGCAACGTGCATTCATATCGTGTTCGTTAATTCTTTTTTTAGCCATCCTCAAGGATGCCGACCTGTCTAAGAAAGTGAGGCAACAAATCGAAGAGAAACTCGATGTTGACCTCACAGAAAGGTAAGCGACGAACGAAAAGACGCGATATATATATACAGGTATATATACAGTGATGAAATACGATTATAGAAAAATATTTTTGCTCGCGCATCTTGGCACTTTGTATTTTGATATATGATAAGATACGGCGATCTTATATTGCCGCTCGCGAAAATGGCGACAGTGCTAATTTCGATATCAAGTCGATTCATATTACAGCGCAACGGAATATCTCTCGATATACGAGCGCGTTTACTCGCGCCAAAGCTGCGACGTTTAAAGACCGTTTTTAACGGCCGAATCAAGTTGTCTTGTTTCCCGTTTTTTACCGTATGAATAATTTGACTTTAATGTTTATATTTTAAAAGAAGTTGCCGATGTGTATCAGCCGCAAGTACGAGTCGGTAATATTAAAGATACGAATTCTGGACGTAAAATATAAAAGTTTGTACAAGATAATCTAATGCTGCATTTTTTAAATTTGCGATGTTAAATGGGAAAACAAATCATTTCTTTGTCTGTCGATTTATCACGTGTGCTCGCGGATTACATTACTGCGACGTAGTTTACCTCTCGGTATAAAAAACGCATTTAATTGTTTTATTAATTGTTGAATCGTACTGATCATGCCGTCCTTGAAATTGAATCAAAAACTTGGAAACGGACATACAATAGGCACTTGTGCACTGTAATTTGTGCAGAAGAGAGTCTCTCGGTGTCCTAGAAAAAAAAACAGGGGATCTCTGAGTGAAACTGCCATTATAGACACAAGTTACCACCTCGTTCCTCCCCTGACATTCTTTCACATCTCGGCTCGCGGATTATTCCTACGTTGATCACATATAAAGTAATATCTATTACGTTCATTCTTTATAGGATAAAGGAGGTGAATGATTTAGTCATAGAATGCCTCCAAGAGAAACACGGTGGAGGAAAGAAAAAGAAGAAGGCCGCTCGTGAAGAGTCCGAGGATGGCGAAGAGGAAGAGGAAGAAGGATCTGAAGAAGATGAGGAGGAGAAAAAGCCGGGTAAGCGAAATCCTGCTAAAAAAACTCCTAACAAGCGTAAGAAGGGATCCTCCGATGATGAGGAAAGCGCTAGCGATGATGATGCTAGCGACGAGGAATACAGTCCAAAGAAACCTAAAGTTACACCTAAAAAAAGTAAGATATTAATTCTTTGTACTAGAACAGTTTTATTCCCCGGCATGATTCCATCTTAAAAATCTCACGTGAAATGTGTTAATTTATTTTTTGTAGCTAAGCCCGGAAAGAAAGGAAAGAAGAAGAAGGGAGGGGGTTACACGCGTGTGATGCGTGCTATCACGTTGTCTCCGGAGCTCGCCGCGGTTGTTGGCGCAGAACAAATGACTATACCTCAAGTCGTGAAGAAAGTATGGAGTATCATCAAAGAGAGGAATCTTTATGTAAGTATTATTTGTAATCAATTTAATCTTGATGTACTTATTTCCTATATCTTGAAATTTTCTTTTTACTATTTCCTTCGCTATATCTTAGAGGAAAATATATAGATACATATATTACATGCATGTACTTAACAAAAATCATGTTGTCAAGAAAATGACTTTTTACAGGACCCTATGAATAGACGGTTTGCGATTTGTGATGAGGAATTAGTGAAGGTAATCGGCGTAAAGCGTTTCAGAGCTTTTGGTATGATGAAATACCTCAAAAATCACTTTCTAGATTAAATAATTCTTCAATCCCGATCTCCGACAAGTTATATACATATACATAACATATTCCAGGGTGCGCCTCGTGCACCTCTTCATCTTTCTCACACGATACATACATATACATGAAACACAAAAGGTATTTCTTGCGACTTTAGACCATGTTTACACCATTCCGACGTACTCTGCCGCTCATTGTAACCATTTAAGTTAATGTCAGGCTATGCACAATTTGCGATTTTTAAATTTGCCATTTGCCAGTCACGTGAGATCAATTAGCGATGCAGATGGGAGGATTCACCAAGTGCATGTATATTGTTTACCGTTCACGTCAATTTGGTAACGGAACCATTTCCCTACAAAGTCAAAGGGTGCAAATCACTGCGAATCAATGAATTCGTAGGTTTATGTGTAGAGCTACACTATATGGCAAACCACAAATCGTTGAATTCACAAGCAGTATGGATGGTTTATACTGGCGAATGATAAATTTCTGCAAATACTACAAATTGTACGTAATCTGGCGCTAGTTTTACAGTATTTTTGTATTATTCCTTTACCTTTTTTATATTGAAAATATTTCTTCCGGAACATGGATGTTCCGGAAGAGAGAACTCTTTGTTTTTTTCTTTTTTTCTTTTGAACGTCCGCATATTGTTCCTTTCGCCTTGGAGGCGAAGTCAGTCATTCTGTTACATCCATGTTCCGGAAGAAATATTTTCAATATAAAAAAGGTAGAGGAATAATACAAAACAAAGAGAGAACTCTTTGTTTTTTTCTTTTGAACGTCCGCATATTGTTCCTTTCGCCTTGGAGGCGAAGTCAATCACTCGGAAAATTAATATTCTGTACCTTTTCTGTATAATAGATACACATGCAAATGTAAGCAAAGTTTAATTGTATTATCGTGTAATTACTAATTATTGTCGTAATATAGGTTTCTTGAAACAATATATTCATTGAAAGGTATCTATAAGCATATTAAATGATTAAAGTCACAGTGCAGCGACCACTGGCTGTTGAAGTGTAGGAAATAAAATAATAGGCTCACGAAGCGAGGTGCGGAGTCTTAACCGCATACATCTGGCCGAGCTTCGACATATGTAAAATTCGTGTATTTTGAATATAAATTAAAGAAATGCTGGCCTAAGTCATGAGAAAAGCCACACGAATGAGATCATTGCAGTTTACGAAAGCATTGCATACCTACATGGGGGAAAAAAATGCGTACGGAGTGATAAATTAGGATACGAACTGATTTCTCTGAAAAGGAAAAAGAACTATTTAAACGGTAATGTTCCGTGAAATGTATTTCGAAATGTCATTAAAAAGTATTGCTTTCATTTTTTTTTAAACTTGTGTAATTTATTTCAGTTATTTCTTAGCACTTCTTTTTTACATGTGTGACCCGACATATCTATCCTATATTCCAAATACATGTATGACCCGATTGATTATTCACAATGTGTGTATTCACTTGAAATGGTGTTTTTCTCTTTCATTACATATCAATATTATTGAGACATTTATGCGTATACAAGTTTGCACAACTATTTCAGAAATAACTTAAATTTTACAAATGGTCAAGCTCATCTTCCAAGAACGATACAACGTGCTGATTGTCATCCCGCCTGCCTCGCAATCCAAATATGAATGTCATGAGTTTCTTTGTGTTTGTACAGCTATCTCTTCTAGTTTGAAAACGAATTTGATTGGTCTATAAGCAAATGCATAAGGAAATGGACCAATCAAATTCGTTATGCATATGCTTATGCACTTATGCAAAAGTGTGTGTGTGTGCTTCCCGCTTAAAGGCTTGTGTCCACGATGCTAGAACTCGGTCTAAGTTCTCGGATAGAGTTCTCGCACAGACTTCTCTTGTCTCGGATGAATCTAGAAAGCGTTATAGTATAGGGCTGCGTTCGAAAATATCACCTGAGTGCTCCCATGTATCATTTTATCCTTGTTGTTCACCGAATTAAGCAAGGATAAAACGATACATTATAGGAGCACTCGGGTGACGTTTTCGAACGCAGTCTGTATAATAAAAATTACCGCGGCTAACATATACTCTAACCTACAAATATAAAACATCTACTTCAGAAACAAGTAAGTTAATATATTTAATCTTAATTATTCTTTCATATAAGAGTATTTTTAACGTTTTCTTTCTAAAACAAGGTATAATAATTTAAATATTTCTTATTTTAATTTTTAGAAATATTTGATTGTAAACTTTAATATTTCTCAACTAGATAAGTACATTAAAATTATGAAGATATCTTCCAAAGCTAGAAAATTAATTACAATCGGTCTGATTATTAAAATGGTGGAAAGAGAAGAGATAAAGAAGAAAAAATTTTATGAACCAGAAAGACAA